AAAATGAATGAAAACGGACGCAATTTGTACTTTCTGCAAACTCACCGAAAGACCGAATGCATATACTGAACACAATTTTATGTGTGACAATCGAATAACGATAGTAGTAGTGGAACGGGCGTGTAACAATCTTGAGATAGCAAATAGCACGTATTTAACACAATTTATTCGATGGAATTTTGCGCTTGGTTTACCATATTCTGCAAGAAATTCTTTGAATAGTTTTACTTCGCTGCAGAATGCCATTTACATTATGACATGCTCACAAACACACAGGCAATTGTGTAAAAACTTTGCTACCAACGAAAATTGGATTAAATCGAAAGGACTGTATATCTTATTAAAATATCACATCATTTTGATCAGCTTTGCCAAAAACTAAAAATAAAGTACGTCAAATTAATTGATTTTGAAATGTGCTGTCAACAATGGAAAAGTGGAATCGACGAACGCCACTTGAAAATTGATTAAGACAATAAGCCGAACGTGAGCAAGATTCTCAAACCATTGGGTTTGAATATAATCTTTAGCTGACGAAAATGTCAATGACGAGAACGATTACTATTCTTGATTATTTTTCAATACGCTAACATCAATAAAAATTGAATGAAAATTCAATTTGAAGCGACAACATTTACGATGGATTTCTTAATAAATTCGGAGATGGAAGCAAAGCTCGTTTGCATAACAATCAAAAAGTTTTCAATTCAAATAAAATGAATGGGATTTTCTTGCGTTCGAAAACGATTTAAAATTAATTCCATGCATTTGCTTTATACACAAAAACTGTACATACTAATGTACATCATACTTACGCCCACCCCTAAAAACGCACTCAACGCAAAGTCAATTTCAGAGGGAACGAGTCTTTAATTAGCACAACCAATTTTTGCCAATTTCATTTTGAAGAAGATGGTTTTATGCGCGCAGCAAATTAAAATGTTCGGTCTCATTGAAATCATTAGGCCGTGAAATGAAATTCGCGTGCACAACATAAATTGGTATCTTTACAAACTAAATGTGACAGTATATTGTGCGGTATGGTGTACGCGTCAGCCGGAATATATGTATGTATATATAAATTTTAAATACATAAACAGTCGCAATAGTATAATTCGAAATAAAAGTTTCGTGTGAGAATTTCTCGTCTTGTTTGCATATATGATTTTCACTCATTTGCCACATAATTTTCCAAGGCAACGCTTCCAACAAACAGACATTTGTGATCGTCTAATGTATTAAATATGCACCGGCAAAATTCTGTTTCATCGTCGGTAAAAACTTTAGCGTATTTCAGCTGCGTCACGAAATGTTGAGACATATTTAATTCATTCAAAATAAAATGAAATACAGTACCATTTACGTGCCTCTCTCTCTCTCTCTCTCTCTCTCTCTCTCTCTGCCTGTCTCTGACACATACGAAGAGTCACACAGAGCGAAAGAGACGCGGGCGTAACGAAGCAAAAAATTTATTGAAAATCTACGCCATAAATTTGTAACAATTTTTCGTCGTTCACATTGTTTATGTGAAACATAGCTTTATGCTTTTTTTCCCTTTTGATGCCTTTTTGTTTATTATTATTATTGCCAATGTGACATTGTTGTTGTTGTTGCGTCTGCTGTTAGCGGCGGTTTTGAGTTGTTCATAATTTTCTTAAAGCAGCTGCCAACAGAAAAAGAGCGAATCCATTTTTTTGTTGTTGTTGTATTTGTCAGTTAACTCTTGTTTGTCATTGTTTACGTTATGTATATGTATACATTTGCATGTATTCAGTCTCATTGCATTTGTGCCCATTAATGTGGGCAAAAAAAGGCTCCAACAACTAACAATTCAGTTGGTTGATTCCACAGTCTCTCGTGCATATTTAATGCCGTTAGCCGTATTGTGTGTTGTTGTTTTCTTCTGACAAAAACTGAAAAATCAACATTTTCACGTTTTGGTTCGTATACCGGATCGCTTTCGATAAAAACTGAGTGTCAACGCAAAATTGAATGCGAACAAAAATAAAACGCGAACGATATGACCGTCAACCATAATAATCTACAACGAAATGAAAGTATGGCGTAAACGGAACAAAGAAAAATTGTTCATGTTCATTTCCAGTTGTTGTTTTTCATGCTAGTTGTTGGATTGCATAATATTTCGATGAAAATATTTTAGCCTGATTACGTTGTGTGGTAACATAATCCCAGTCAACGTGTTTTATATTGTGCACGCTTGACATGCGCTCCCTTTTACGTTTCAAATCTTCATGTCAAATCATTTTCTGATTTTTAATGTGTGATAATGGCTTAACTTCACTTGACTTTTTTTTCCTGTTCACAAGCACTTTGAATAATGCCACCGGTAACGACACCAACCACACGGTTCGCATTGTGAACATCTCACAATATGTTTTATGTAGAAAGAAAAAATCAAATGCGACACGAAAAAAAGGATGAGATCATATTTGTGGTGGCCGCATTAAATTTCAAATGAAACAGCCGTCGTTTCGAAATGTACATTTAGAAAATTGGCGAAAAGACAACAGCAGCGCGCATTAAAGAGAAAAAAAAAACTATGGTTTTTCAGTGGTTTTTTTTTAGGTTGATGCCATTCGCAATAATGCGGCAAAGTTTTAATTATTCAGTGGAAGCAGTTCTTTTTGTTTGTTGTGTGTCACTTTCGGTTGTGCTTAGAACATATCTGCTCTCATTTGTCAATGTGAACAAATGACAAAAAGCATTCAATCATTGCTCAGTTGGGCCTGTCACCAGCCAAACAATGCTAAATGCCGAATGCAGAATGCAAAAGAAACAAATGTCTCTGTGGGAAAAAAAGACTTTCAATTCAAACAAATCTCTTTCTCAACGGCGTCAGCACAATTATATGAATCTTCAACCGTTGACATATACATGCTGTGTGCGTATTTGCACGGAAAGGAAACAAAAAATAAATAATGAACCAAAGCTTTTTTTGTGATGTGGACGTGTTATCATTTTGAATGTTGAAATCGTTAGGGTAGACCAAATAATGAAAAAAACTTCAGTTTCTTTTTCCATTTTCTTATTTTTTTGGAAAATACAAATCTCTGCTGCACCACTCTGTTGGGTACAGATTACCACAACTTGAACTAAATGTTGCGATAAATATATCGAAAGAGAGTCTGTCCCCGGTAACTTGGTATAACAGCTTTATTTTGCGATTTTATGATATATTTATTTAGATGAAATTGGACCGAATTTATTTCACATTGAAAAAGGATGATTGGATTCATCCTATTCATATAGCATTTTGGACGTGTACTATTATTTGCACAACAGTTTGGTTGTAAAACAAATTTTGAGCTGAATACGTGAATGAAAGGAAGCGAGCACACAAAAGGAAAACAACTTGAATCGCATTCAACATTTTTTTGTTTTTTTTTTTCTCTTTTCATCTGCCCGTTTCATTTATAATTATCCGAGCTTTTCGCCCACAGTAGCTCACCGCAATGAACCGTCTTACTTTCTCCCCCAGAATTGTCTGGATCGTAGTACGATGCGTATTTTCTATCTATTTTGAAGAAAAAGACTTTGTAAACAATTTCTTACGATGACAATCTAAACAAGAATTTAAGCTTTTATGTGTTCGTTATGTGTTGGTGTTTTTTCTGCGGCCTTTCTATAATTGCATGTTGCGGTAAAGAAGAATGGTTCATATTTCTATGATGTGGTTAGCATTTTTGACGCTGTTGGTGACGTACATTAACCAAATAACTGTTATGGTTGGTTTAATAAAAAACCACGGCGAACGGCGAACGGCTCAACATCAGCTCCAACATTCAATGTAAATCTCGAAGAGCGTCTTTAATATGATATTCTGAAAATTTCATATTGTGTTGGAAACGAAAAACATAAGTATATATTATGAAAGTAGCAACACTTTCTACTTTCATGTGCTTTCCGAAGAATGAAAGAAAACAACAACGGGAAATTGGAGCACCGTTAAATTTGCGGTGTAAATGGCATCAGGCAAGAAATGAGAAATGATAGTTGAATCGGGGTTTGTGTGCTATATGTAACGGAGATGCATAATTTGGCATCTCTTAAACAGATGTGCCAAGTTTTTGTTCATCAGCCACCACCGTTGATTTTTCATCAACGCATTTATGTGCGACCGTGCGCTCATTTTTCCAAACGACCGAAAGTGTGTGTTGCGCTTGCTTTTGTCATTTTCACTTGCACAAATCTGTGTATCACTCTCTGTGTGTTGTTTCCATTGTCACGTTGAATGAGAGGGTTTTTCGCACGAGCGCTTTTCTGTAAATGCTATTCCATGAGTTTAATTGCTAAAAACTCATTAAAACCAAGAAGCGAAGATACTTTATAATCAGCTGAAGAGAACACGAAGATAGAGAAGAAAGTGTGATTTTTGACTTTTTTAAGTGACAGCTGGAGAATTTTCAAACGTTCAAAAAGCACTTTAAACGTAATACCATCTCATTTACTTTTCTATCCTTCTCAAGCATTGTTGGCGATGTTACTGCTACTGTTGCTGCATTCATACATAACAACTTTCATCCAAATCAAGTATTATGACAGTTTTATATCGAAATAATTGTATCAAATTGAGAACATGAACCAGATTTACACAAAACAATAAGAAATTTCAAGTGCAGATGAATGGATTTTGGATTTCGTAGCGTTTCGATGACATTTGGGACTTGAAATTATACGAACGCAAAATCTTGCATCGAATGACAATGATGACTAAAGGGAGTCTCGCATTGACGTAATCTATTTAGAATCGATCCAATGTGACACACAGAAATACATTTCGCCGTATAACGTTGGAAAAGGTCATGGACGAATGACTCCATTGGGAATATCCCGCAACCATTCTTACTTCCATACCACAGCCGTTTTTCAAAAATATTTGCTTTTCATAACACAAGAGGTATACCGTCCTGAGAAAACATACACAATTTTTTTTTCTTGGTACACAGTGGGAAAAATAACGATAATGGAATTTTACTTACCAAAGTAATACGTTCCGCATAAAATTAAAACCGATAATGTGAATATAACGTTAGTGCGCACCGAAATCGCCATCCTAAAATCGTGACGTAAGCGTCTTGAGTTGAATTTTTCTCTTTAAAATTGTTGGACTTTCCGTGAAATGTAACCGATTCGATGGTTTTTTTAAAACTTTAAAATGTATGTGATTAAAATGATTGGCTCTAGTCTTATTCAATAAGCTAAACGATTATTTCTATCACATTCAATATGGATGTTTAAACACACATTTACACATTAGTCACATGAAAACATTTAATTTAAGCGCGAAAAAATGTTTACATAAAATTTTATATGATTGCAATATTTGTATGTATATTTATGTATTTAATTATGTGTGTTTTTTTTAAATGTAATTAGAGTAGTTTAGCTTGGCTTATATTAATTTACTGTGTCATTCATTACTAGACATTCAGATCGCGAGAGTATTTATTCTAAGAATGTGTTTCGATTCAGTTCTATGCGTTGCTATAACGTTTGGATTATGGTTAGCGCGGTTAGCAAAGTATAGATTGAATTTTGTTTTTATGTTTGTTTTGCCTTGATTTTTATTTGTCTTTTACGTTAAATGTAATTTATACAGAATTTACTTTGACTGCGTCGATGTTGTTCGATGGATAAATTCGATTGGCAGCATTTAATGTGGCAAAAGTTTTGGCTGTATCAACAAATATTGTTGCTGTTGTTGATGCTGATTTTGAGTGCGTTGAAATTTCTGGTGGTTCAATTTCAAATGGAATCGAATGGCTTTCGGAAATTGTCGATTCAAATAAGAATAATAAATGAAGCATGTTTCCGGTTCTCTTGTGTTGACAGAAGATTTTTGTTTGCGTTTATTATTCGTCTAAATTGAAATTATTCTCATCCAATCATTTGGTTGCGATGAAATGTAAATATTTTTCGATTTCGTGATGAACAAACGGAACGGGAATCCAACAGTTTTAGCTTTATGTTACAGACGTTTTGACGCACCAATGCTATACAATCGACGACAGCAATTCACTCTCTCGGGAATGTGACCTGCAACAAAAATAAATCGAATGTAAGTAATTGTATAACTTTTATTTCTCTTATTTCACAGAGCACATCATTCACTTCTGCTCAATGAGTACTTTGCTATTTATTTTTGGAAAGAACAAAAGAAAAAAGAAGAAAAATAAATGTTCTCGGTTTTTATTCGATATCGCCAAAAGTCAAATCAATAATAATCTTTTACACTCAAACACGACTTTTCCATACAATTTCATGTACAGATGTATATATGCTTATCGATTCGAACCTTCGAAAATCACAGCCAATGCACAATTCATTTTGAATTCATGTGTCCCAATAGATTCGATTGCCAGCCAGGTTAACGAGAAAAGGTTCAATTGCAATTGAAATCGGTAGATTGTAGCAAATGTATATTGAAACAAGCTTAAGTTTCAATTATTAATCATGTGTTTGATTTTTTTTTTTGTGAGCAGGGGAATTCCATTTCTAAAGTGAAATGAAATTTTCGAATGACCTTAAGCTTAACTCGTTTTCTTTCAATGCAATTTCGATGGATGTTTAATTAAATCCACCAAACTTTAACCGATAGATTTAGCTTTTTCATATTTAAAATGTTATTGTAAAGGTCAGAGGCGGACCAGACGAAATTCTTTACTGTCACGTGTTTTCTACATTAAAAACGAGGCCGTTTCTCATACATCAAGCTTTTTTTATTGAGCTCAATAAAAAATATATATGGTAGATCTTATAATCACCGTTATTCGACTCAATAATTAAATAAAAACAAATAATTTTTGCATTCGAAATATGTAATGATGTTTCAAGATAAATCAAATCTACATCTGAGTGGATTTAAATTTTCTGTATGAGAGAAAAATGCCACGTGATGCAATCAATTTTTCAAGCTTTTCAACAATTATGTATATATGTGATACAAGGATACGAACTCAAATGCCAGTAAATCAATACAAAGTAATCATCGTTTTGATCGTAAAAGGTGAATTTCATTGAATTTTCATGACAATAAAAAATGTGGCCAATTATTCAGATGGTCTATTATTTGTTTCTCTTGGTGACAGCGCAGACTACAAATTGCTTCGAATTATAATTATTGCTATATCAATTGTTCAAGCCAGTCTGCAATTACATCATACCGGACACTTAAAGTCGTCCGACATTCATTCTACTTTTTTGTGTCTAGCTTGAATGGAATGAATATAAAGAATGTGAATGTGTGTGCGACGAATGAATGAAAACGAACAAAGAAATTATTGTTGATTCGAATGGGTCTCATTACAGTTGCAGAATAGACCCGGTCAAAATACAATACAGCAAATAGACAGCACAATCAAATCAAATTTAATTAGATATAAACCGTTTGAGGATTACATGCATTTTATTTTCGAAATGGTTTTTTTTATACTCATTTCATTATCGGTGTCGACCTGAATGACAGACAAAATGATAAGAGGCGAGAAACGAACAAACCCAAACAATCTACATTCTTGAGATAGCTAGCCTGCATGAACAGAAAATAATCACGGAAAACAAGGCCAACAATGAATGAAAAACTAAAAACACACGACGGTAGAATAAGGAAGAAAGATAGTGCAAGCTACAATGTAGCGAGAATTGAGATCCAACAGAGTTAATAGAACACATTTTATACGTATAGTATATATTCCGAAGTGGTCATGTACAATGCTCATTTATAACTGTCGCTTAATATTACATTATGGCCTTATTACACACATTCTATAATCTAAACGGTCTGATGGAACGGTGGCATGAGATGCGGAATACCAGTTCTTTTTTTTCTTCTCCCACTCATTCGCTTAAAGTGCACGCACAACATTCATTACATAAAGTAACCAAATCCAAAATGAAGCACTACATTGTCATTATTATCACCTAAGTTAGGTTGATGGTTACGAAACATATTTGGCCCTAATAAGCTTCAAAATTAATGAATTTACATTGAAACGAGAAAACACAATGACATCGTCGTCGTTGATGACAACAGCGACGACAGAAAGCGGCCGATAACAACGTCGACAAAAAAGGGAATTCAAATTGATGCAAAGTCAAGCAGAACAACTGAATCATCGTCGAAAACGAGAGAAAATGTAGCTTTACACCATCGTCACTTTTCATCGTTGAGCTCTTTTTGTACATTTTTCGCAACAATTTCCGGCGCAGTTCTTTTCACCGAGCAAAATTTCATTTCTCATTGTGGCAATAACAACACTTCGCTTAATGCTGCTCGACACAAACGTTTATTATAATTACAAAATATGGTCGTAATTTGAAAACGTAAGCGGAAAGTACCGACATCATTTAGCTGTACGCGGATGGTGAATATGATACAATTTTGCAATGTACCACTCTGCCGTACATTTCGCGTAGAAAATGAAAAAGTTATTTTGTTGTACGACAACAACAGAAAAAGAAAAAAAACACACAAACTGTAGACAATGCCAGGCGAACGGATTTAATTCTTTAACGTGCAAAAGAGCATAGTCCGGCCACAAAATTGAGTGGATAGCAACATTTCGCAAATAAAATTAACAGAATTCACTCCAGCCCGACAAATAACTATAACCAAAAGTTGAACAAAAGAAAGAATTCGTGTGTCGCCGTTAAATCTCATGCTTAACTGTGTGTGTGTGTATTTTTTTCCTCAATCGCTTTTATTTTATTTTGTTCGACTTTTGCATGACTATTTGTATAATTATTAGCCGCTAGTTGCATGTTTTGTTAAGACAAAAGAAAAGCAAGCAACACGAAACAAATAAAAGGGAACAAAAAAACCGAACGCGAAAACCCATTATAATAATATAATGGAATAAAAATCTGATCAGAATGTTATTTAGCTGTTTTGTTCGTTGATGTTGTTATTTTATATACCGTTAACGGTTCGTCAAGGACATTGTTTTATAATAATGTTGCGCTGAGTTGGTCGTAAAAAGACATGCAGGCATGTATCGTGTCTTTTTTGAACTTTGTTGGATTGGTCTTTTCTCCTTTCTTTATTTGTTTGTGCGTCTTCCGGTTCTGGTGACATTTTTCGTGCCATAAAAACTTTTTATGTGGATATTTTTCCCGTAGCCATAATACGCTATATGTAGCAGGGATTTGTTGTGATCATTTGGTAGGAAACATGTTTAATGTGTATGGGATTGTACATAAGCATTTATTCGTTGCGAATCAAGCGATTAAAAATTCGTTTGATAAAAAGACACAGTTCGTCAAGCCATCTCAAAATCAAAGAGATTTCACAATGACTATAACGAATACCATATTCTCTGTGTGTGTACTACAAAGTGTACGGAGATTCTAATTACCTGCGGCCATACACTCAGTTGTTTAATGTAACAAAAATTATCTGCTAAGTGAGTTTCGCAACAAATAATAAACTCATTGTACACGTGTTGGTTCCAAACACAGCATGGTAACCGTAGAGACATACACAGAGAAGGGAGATTGAAAATAGGTTTTCGTGTGGTCGATCCAACCACAGATTTCGTTTAAACTCGAATTATTAAAAATGACCGAATGATTTGAAACCAAATAAACCATGTCGAACCCAGCAGAAACCTTGTTATGGTCGTTAGAGAATTACACAAGCCATCCATATGCCGAATATATAAGCTGCGGAGCTTATTTTTGAAGGGAAAATCGACGACATTAAACGAACACATACATCCTGTGTGATAAATGAATGGATTTGCCAGCGAGTCACAACGAAACAACGATAATAACGACATCACATTGAGTCGAAAACAATTTTTCCAAAAGGCTTCCGGTTCGAATGGTAGATTATGCCAATTTTCCGCACTGATTTAATAGATTTAAAATTTAAATTAGATTTTTGGCATATTCGACGGATCACGATGGTTTCGTATATTCAACGAAAGCAAACAATCGGTCTGTATTTTAATTTAATTTTTCCGGGAACTTTTAGTACACCTTTTGCATATGGATGCATCGGTAGACGCACTTTTTACCCTAATTGCATAAATTTGCGTAAACATGTGGACGCTTAAAATGCGAAAACAAACGTCCCATCAGCGAACATGAAATTAGTCGCATATTTAGATGGACCAAATGGACAAAGCCCATTCAATGTTTTTCATGGTAAATTATCGTATCGTGATGCAAAGATAATAACATTACACCAATGCTATGCAATAAATGAAACAATAAATATGCAAAATCAACGCAATATCGTCTAATTTTGGTTTGAAAAACATTGTTTGCAACCGATGCGACAAAAAGCAATTTTGGCTAACTTTACAGTTTAACATTTGCTACGCGATGATTTCAGCATTGTTGCTGGTTCACACATAGGTCGTCCATGCTCTATTCATCGTCCATAAATTGTATCGGTTGATGTGTATGTGTGTTTGTTGTTTTTTTAAACTGAAATTACTGTTCACAGAGTTTACTGTCAGGTGGTTCGAAGGTAACGTACATATTACATTACGTCAGTTATGTATACTTTATATGTACCGTATTGTTCAGTTGACTGAATTGCTCACATTTTCTTTGTTGTGAGAACATTTTACATTTAAGGTTCATGAATTGAACTAATCCGAACCAAATTATCCGAAATGCTTTCCATGATAAAATCAGTCATTCGAAGTAAATGTAAACACAGAAGTGCAATCGAAATTTTACATTTGGTTCAGTGCTGAATGAATAATAAACATTCAATTGACTTTTTTTCTCTCTTTCATTCTTCTTCGGATTTTCATTCTGTTTTCAAATGGACGAGGATGAAAGAAACGAATGTATAACCTCGAAAAGGAAAAAAAAGTGGGTAAGGGCATAACCATGACAAAGACCAGCGGATTTGAATGAATAGAAAGGAAAAAAGATTGCAATGAAGTGGTTAAAAACGAATTTCTCGTTGCATATGAAAAGTCCCAGATGATAGTCCCCATTCAATTGATATAAATGTCTAAACAAAATATTTCCTTCACACACATCTGTGGTTTCGTTACACCATCAATGTTGCTAAAAAT